ATGTCTTTCGATGTGTGACGTGACAATGACTATATAAACTGTGTACTGACTCCATTCTGTCTGAGAGAAGGAAACAATGGACTTAAATAAACTTCCAGAGTTTGGCGCACCACAATCCGTCTCTGTCTGCTTCATCCCTGACAGATTTGGTGGAGGATGCGCGGCTCAGTGTGCGCCATTCTCTGGTTGTTTTGAGGGAGTTTCCTTTGTTTTCTTTTTCTCGGCATGAGAGAGCGGCTGTATCTGGGAGCGGAGATTCCAGCAGGCTGGAAGAGCTGTTCCTGGATGCTTCTTGTCGCTTCTTTCACTTGCGTTTAAATTGAATTTTCCGACGCGGAAAAGAGTTGGCAGACGGTTGGGGTCGTGGATAAAGTGCAAGGTGCGAGAGTTTGTATGGTTGGCTGCAAGAGCCTCCTACCAGCCCTATGGAGGTAGGTGGGTTCAGGTTTTCAAGCAGGTCCAGGACTAGTTCCAGTTCTTTAGCTCGCCATCGAAACCTGGCCTGTATAACAGAACAGTACCCTCATTAACTCCATTTAGTATATACTAAAAATAATACTAATTACTTCAAACTACATTAATACACTTCTAAATTACTATAAAAAATATATCAGTAGTTTGTCATTAATCCATGTGTACACAAAGTCAATACATATTCAAATAGGATGCACATCGCTTCATAATTAAAAGTGCAATAGGATGCTACTATATCACAATAACTATTCTACAAAAGTTTCTATAATTAAGACAATGAAAAATGCTTAACTATTTGTACTTAATCATTTAAGTGAAAGTGCATAGTGCTATTGCACAATCAATAATCTCATAGCAACTCTACAAAATAAAGTGCTAGTGCATTGCAAAAGGATGAAATAACATGATTTCATATGCAGGGTAAAAAACGCCACAAAGTGCATGTAAACAGTGTCATGATTCAACAATAATCTCATTAACATGATCGTCATTTGGTTTGGACATTAAATACAAAGCACAGAGAAAATTGGCATAAATACCAGATGCTAACCGAACCCATTAAAAACAGGGGGAACGGCTAATGCTAAGCTAGACGCTGGAATGAATGAGCTCATGAGAGCGCTTACCGATTCTCCCGATTCTGAGCGATCAAACGCTCTATACTTGATAGAGCGCTAGGGTGATGGTAGCTCGGCTCCTGCATGCAGCAATACATATAATAAGGTGAAGTAAATAAGCAGAAACCGTACCTGGCACCTCTCGCACATGGATCTATTATAATAACTGGATAGGGTATTACACAGTGTTGCCAACTCCTCAGTAAGGAAAGTAGCTATTGGCTGTCCCAAAAGTCGCTAGAAGTCGCTAAATGACGTCATCGCCTAATTTGCATAATTTGCCATTTGCAAATAACTGTAACGGACGCTGTAGGAGAGAGGAATAAGGTCGTGGGAGAGACAAAAGTGAGTAAAAAACACCCTAAATATGTTTAGAACTACAAATGTACAAAAATAATTTCAACATTAACAACATTTAATGATTTTAATGCTTTGTCTAGATCCACATTACACACATCAGTTTTGTCCTGTATTGTTAAATGTTATAACAGCAAATGTAATCAAAAGATTGTTATGTAGGGTGAAATTGCTAGCTCTACAACCAACCCTCCTCCTTTATCCGGGCTTGGGACCGGCAAAGTGACCCAAAAGACACACTCTGGCAGAGTTACTTTGGTTTATTTTTGTAAGTTTTTTTTTTTTTTCATAGTTTGGCATAACAAATTATTTAATGTGACCCACTACTGAGAGAAAACTGAGTCACGGACAGAGCTGCCGCGGATGGAGTGGGGGGTAGTGGGGGGTGGCGGTGGTAGGAGTGGCCGGGGAGCTTTGGATGTGTGGTGGTGGTGGAGCTGAAGTTCAGTCTGCAGCAGCCTGAAAACTCCCTGTGCTTTTGAGTCTCCTCTCTCTCTCTCTGCTCCGCCCATAGACTGTAGCTGGGACTGCTGCGCAAGGCTACTGTGAGACTGGCCGCCTGTAAGTGCTTTGGGACGGGGGAGGGGCTCACGTTGAGGACAGCAGAACAATACGTGCTTCGAGTCTCCAAAACACCAGATAAGTCGCCAAAACACCAGATAAGTCGCCAATAACACCAGAAAAAGTCGCTAGATTTGTCGCTAGTCGCTTTTTTGAAAAAAAGTCGCTATAGGGGTCTGAAAAGTCGCTAAATCTAGCGACAAAGTCGCTAAGTTGGCAACACTGGTATTACAGCTTGTAGCTGAATAACTCACGTGCTCAGGGGATTCTCGCGGTACTGCAGACTGAACCAGACTAAATTCACGTGGGCTACCCAGAAATTTTCCCCATAGAACTCAATGCATATTAAAATAGCTCGACCTCAGCTGACAGAGAAACTACAGCTTTAATAAAGATCGGATTTTGTGGGGATTTTAGTGTCCCTTGTCATCCTGAACTTTTTTTCTTCTTAAATCCTTCGGTTTTGTTTAAATCCACACTTTAGTGCCACAAACTCTGCTCGTCTGGCTCTCGCTCTAACTCCCGCTCTGATGAACTGCTCTGATTGGTCAGAGCGCGGCCGAGCCCCTCTGTGCACGTGCGTGAGACCCGGTGTGAGACCCACACACGAGTGTTTGACGCAACGCATTATGGGAGATCATCCACTGCGCAGAACCGGGAGGACCAGACGATGCCCAAATACAGGCGAGTTTCCCATAGATCTTTGCGAGTTTCAGGCAACTTCCGCTAATCTTTCAGCCCCCATGCCGCAAGCCCCGGCGATTCAAGATGGCGCCCTATTCAAATGAATGGTTGTGCTCAGTGGCGCTTTGTGACAGCATGGGGGCTGAAAGATTAGCGGAAGTTGCCTGAAACTCGCAAAGATCTATGGGAAACTCGCCTGTATTTGGGCATCGTCTGGTCCTCCCGGTTCTGCGCAGTGGATGATCTCCCATAATGCGTTGCGCCAAACACGCGTGTGTGGGTCTCACACCGGGTCTCACGCACGTGCACAGAGGGGCTCGGACGCGCTCTGACCAATCAGAGCAGTTCATCAGAGCGGGAGTTAGAGCGAGAGCCAGACGAGCAGAGATTGTGGCACTAAAGTGTGGATTTAAACAAAACCGAAGGATTTAAGAAGAAAAGAAGTTCAGGATGACAAGGGACACTAAAATCCCCACAAAATCCGACCTTTATGAAAGCTGTAGGTTCTCTGTCAGCTGAGGTCGAGCTGTTTTAATATGCATTGAGTTCTATGGGGAAAATTTCTGGGTAACCCACGTGAATTTAGTCTGGTTCAGTCTGCAGTACCGCGAGAATCCCCCGAGCACATGAGTTATTCAGCTAGTAATACCCTATCCAGTTAATATAATACATCCATGCCATGCCGTCACAAAGCGCCACTTGGATCTTGGATCGCCGGGGCTTGCTCTCGCACTACCAGTGCTTCCTGGTTAGGGAAAATATAACCGGCTGATTGGCCAGCTCCGGTCACGAGACGCGCACGCAGGGGGGAACGCAAAGATCAGTATTGTAAAACGAGGTATCACTCCTACAGGATTTTTCACCCGTGTTACATATAGAAGCAACAATACTTTACATTCAGTGATCACGGTTTAAATTACATACAGAAAAAGGAAGTTTTTGTTTTTAGTTTGTTTTCGGCGAGAATGCTGAGTTTTATCTACAGTTGAGAGCTTTCGTGAGTTATTTACATTTTTTGTCGCGGCTCGGGCTGTATCCAACAGTTGTTTTTTGTTTTTTTAGAAAGAGATTTTGAGTTTAAATTAGTTCGCGACCTCAATAAAATAGAAGGAAACGTTAAACACTAAGAGTGCCTTTTGTCACAAGTGTTGAAATTGGCCATTTCTATATTTGGATGACAAAAGTATAAACTACAACATCAGTTATAGTCGCTTAAAAATGTAATCTTGAAAGTTCTTCTTTCTGTTTTTGCATTTTTGCTAAAACACAACTTTCTGCCTGTGTGTGTGCACATCTCTATCGTTCTGCCCCCCCCCCCAAAAGCCGTAGTTCAAAACATTTAAATTAGAATCTGTGTTAAAAGTGATTATTGATCATAGACTTCATCTAAAAAGAGAAAGAGGGAATTAGGATTAGCTGTAAAAGTATTATATTATTAAGTTGAACTGTACCCAATTCACATTGCAAGCGGTGACTTTTTTGTTTTGACTATGCACCTGACCTTGCTCCTGCTGCTGATGCCACAGCAGAGACTGCTCTGAAATGTGCTCCAATTCATATTGACTTCATTTGAAAAGGCTGCAATTATTTTAAATTAGTAGAATATATGCTGAGATAAATGTTCAAGTGTAAAAGGGAAATTCCATAATGTGATTAATCCAGTTTAGTTCATCTTTTGATTTGATTTCATGTTTTCAAGTTTAAAAAAAAAATGTTTTTACAAATTAATTTTCATTTTTATAGAGATTTTTCATAATTTCATTTCATGGCGTCTTTCAAGAAACCCAAGAACGAATAGATAACACACATTAACACACAGTACAAAAGTACATAATACATATTTTTGAATATATAAGTTTGAAGGTTTTTTGAGATTTGAGTCTTGTTTTTTTATTAAGACAGTTTCTGGTCTTAAAATGTCATCATTAGTAAGATAATAAGTAATCTTTATTTATATAGCGCATGTTGGAAAGCCGAGAGCGCTCCAAAATTGTTTAGACTTTAAAGAGAAAAACAATCTCATTAACAAACTGATATCTGCTGTTTTTAATTTGACTATAAGGTTGTGTTCCAGGACCAAGAGCACACACTGTACAGGGGCCACTGGACTGCAGTCCAACGCCCACCCAGGCACAGGTCACAGATCAAAGAGCAAAGGAAAATGCCACCTCCTTGCCCCTCCCAACGCCACTCCAGAACTGAGTGGGTGTAAGAGAGTGGGTACTAGAGAGAGGTGTCTGGAGACGTGATGGTGGAGCATCAGGGAGAGACCTGAATGCGAGTTGAGAGTGTGTCCACGTGGTTACATCACCACAGTGTGACCTTTGAGACCTGCAGGTGGTTCGAGGAGTCTGGAGACACAACCCCAAAATTCACACACACACACACACACATACACATACATCTACACTCACACATTTACATATAGATACATGAAAAAGCAGAACATGAGAAAAAAGCATTTAAAGTTTACTTGACTATTTTTAATTGTCTATCACTTGAGTCTTTATTTGAATCAGTATTTTTTGAGACCAGAAATGTTCACTTGAATTCTATATTGTCATGGACTTAATTGACGTATATTAACCATTTGTCTTTCTGTGTTCACAGTTTTATTCCTGAGAATGTAGAATAGACATGGAGCAAAATCCCACTAACAATAATCCACTGATAATGAGTAAACCACAGAGAGATTCATTAGATTAAAATGTATGTTTAAGAATTTTGCTCAATAAAAGCAAACATGCAAACATATTTGTAAATAGATTAGAATAGTTTTAAACCATAGTGAATAGTAAAAGTAAAGTACACAGTCTAAGATTAAAAAGTGAAAATAATAAAGTGTAGTGTAAACAATTAGCATTAGAATAAAAGTATAAAGTAAGAAAAGTGAAATTAGCTTCTAAATTGAGACTCAGCTCGTTTTTGTCTGTGTTTTGACTGAATCTGCTGAGTTCTTGTGTGTCCAATAGTGTTTGTTTGTTTTTATTTACATTTTTTGTTTTTTGTTTATTTATTTACTTCTTTTGTTTTTTTTTTTCCCAGGATAGAGGATAAAATCCACTGATATTAATTTTTGATGATTATGAGTTTAATGCATACATTTTCTTTGTTTTTTAATAAAAAAATAAAATAAAAAATTGATTTTTTTTTTCCACTTTATTGATTGATCAAATTGAGTGATCACATGTGATTATTTTATGTGATCAAAGGGGTGAGTGTTAGTATTAGATAGCAATATGGCCTACGTGCAGGACTCTACAAGGACTCTGATTATTTTGACTCTGATGTGACTGTCTCTGTGTGACACGTATGTCTTTCGATGTGTGACGTGACAATGACTATATAAACTGTGTACTGACTCTCTCTGTGTACTCTTCTGTCTGAGAGAAGGAAACAATGGAAACCACTGGAACTTGAGAGAAACTTAAATAAACTTCCAGAGTTTGGCGCACCACGATCCGTCTCTGTCTGGCTAATTCCTGACACTATTTATAAATAAGATCAATAACACAGTAACATAAAGTTTATGAATAAAAAAGATTGGTTTTTTAATGTGTTTTTAAAGTAAAAACTGTTTCCTCACCGTTGTAGCAGAAAAAACAACTGGGTGTTTGATGACAGTGAGAATCAATCCATCTGCCATCACTGTACATCCTGCCACAGTTCTCCTGTCCTCCCTTATCATCAGGGTCCCCTGGTCCCCACGGAGCTTCTCCTTCCTTGTATCTGACTGTGGGCTGAGACCAGTGCCATTTCCTGTCTGTGAGTTTGTCACTGGTTTGATGAAGTCCGATCCAGGCGTCCGTGCGTCCGTTTGCAGCAGCCTTCAGGTTCTTCAGGTCCTTCATGTCGTTCACTGAGGCCAGGTCTGTGTGCTGCTCTCTGCAGTGACTCTGAGCCTCAGACCACGACATCTTCTTATCTATAAAGTGGTACTGAAGGTCCAGAGACACTGACCAACACAGCTGACCTACAGGGAGAAAACACAAACTAAACATATCTTCATGAATTATTGAGACAGTTTAGAACAGTGGTCCCCAAACTACGGCCCGCCCCTACATTTGCTCCGGCCCCCTGAACAATACCAGAGAGTATTTTCATATATGGGTTTGTTCACACAAAAGGGCACAAAAGTGTGACAAAAGGCCAAAAATTAGATTTTAATAATCCGAAAGTATTTTTTATGTTTTTCATGTATTCAAACTCCTCCTCTGTCCATTAGAAGTTGCTAGAACATAACTTTTTTATACATTAGACAAGTTTCCTAAAGTGTCCCTGTTTATTTTATGTAACGGACGTGATTTGACGGAATGAGCTGCGGAAGTTTGTTACGTATTTTCAGATGTCCACATTTGATTAAGAGATTCTATTTATTTTTTTACACAAAGTAGAAACAAAGTGATACTTTCATATAGTCAACCAATTAAATATGAAACCAGACCAGATTTTTTTTTTCTCAAGTTTTTCATCACGTCCGTTACACCTTTTTCAAGGGTCATTTATTATAATTTTTTTAAACGGTTCCTTTTTATATCAAGTGATTTACTGATGTTGTGTTAACTATGTAAATCTTGTGGGATTTCATCTGCCGCTTTCTCAAACTGAGAAAATTTTATTTTCTATGTAACCGGCATCACAGTAGAATGGTCAAATTAGAGGCTGATTTAGTCGTTTAAAATGTCGCCAAAAATAAATATTTGTCGATCTTTTCTTTTGATTTTATCCACACTATCTCTTCAATGTGTCCGTGTTTGAAATATTTTTAACCAATCAATGTTAACAGTTTTTGAGTTATAACCTTTTAAAGTCCAGATACTTTTATTGACATTTTACTGTGAACACACTCATATGTGTATTTGATAATAAAGTTGGACTTTTGCAATAAAGTTAGTAAGTTTTTCTATTTGTATACCGCCTTTTCACTGCAGATCTGAGTCTCAAAGCGGTTTACAATTGTTAATTTTGGGCATTTGTCTCTCACTCCACACAGAGATGGGAGCGGGGTCGCCAGTACAGGAGGCGCATGCTAGAACTATTGGACATATTTTTAGTGGTAGGGGAAACCGGAGTACCCGGAGGAAACCTACGCAGACACGGGGAGAACATGCAAACTCCACTCAGAAAGGCCCTGGTCCGACCGGGATTCGAACCCAGGACCTTCTTGCTGAGAGGCGAGAGTGCTATCCACTCAGCCACCGTGCCGTTCATAACTAAGGACCATAAAAAGGTCCTTAGTTATGAACGTTTTTCATGATTTACTATTAGTTAGTAACTATTTCAACGCTGCAATCATCACACTTTTTCTGTTACAAACTGACCCGGCCCCCATCGAAAAAGGGAAAAGTTATGTGGCCCTCACAGGAAAAAGTTTGGGGACCCCTGGTTTAGAAGATTAGACTTTTTCAAATGTCTGTGGATTGAGAAATTACAAAGTTTATTAATCAATCATTCAATTATCATTACTTAGAGCAGTTGGTTTTTGCTCTCCTTTATCTAAGTAAATGTAAATATAATGTTTAAGGACAAAATGTCTTGTCCATTGGCGGATAATTTTCCTTTACTTTGAAGTGAATTTTCATATTTCAGGATTATAGGTTTTAAAATCACACCAGAACTAAATGATGTTTGGGAAATCTTTTAACGATTGCATTTACAGTTACTGTAAATGTTAAAATACATGTGAAGTAGACAAATATAAGGAAGAGTAACTAAAACTCACTCAGCAGCACGGAGAGCAGCAACGTCTGATCCATCTTCACCTGAAAACCCAGACTAAAGCAGGACTGGACCAGAACTGAACCAGGACTGAGCCAGGTCTGAACCAGGTCTAAACTAGTGTGGCACATCACGCGCATTTTAAAGTCTGCTCTCTCTGCTCACCTGTGTGTGGGAAAAACCCAAACACATTTTCACCGTTTTTTTTTTGGTCAAATGTAAATGAACGAAACAAAGAGGCGACACAACTCCAACACAAATGAGATGAAACACGGATACACAGTTTTTCCAACTTTTCCTGCATCATTTTCATATTCAAAATCATAGACTTTGAATAGAAGAGACTATTCACCACATTAAAAATATAGTTTCAAGAAAGTATATATTTAAAAACTGCTTGAATTCATTATTGTTTTGAGTATTCTCTCAAACTAACACTTTCTTACTTTTTGCCCATTGCTTGTTTGCTCTAGAGCAGCAAAAGGTCTCTTCATCCCTGTGGGGCTTCAGCCTTTTGTGGATGAGGTTTTGTTCCATAATTTCAGCTTCTATTGTGGTCCTCAGGAGATATGGGGCGTCCCCTCTTTGCCTTCAGGAGTCCAGAACCGGGATCTTTCTGTAAAGTCCTAAGTGTCTTCTTTTAAAGGACAAGTCCCAACCAGGTCCGTCCTCTCATTATGACTGATGTGGACTTGGAGACATTTGTGAAGGAGGTCTGTATTAGAGGAAGTCTCTGCACAAAACATCTGTAAACAGAGAGGTGTGCAGACCTCAGTGTGGAGGGAGCTTTTCAACATCAGTCGAGGGAAAACAGTCTTGTGAATAATTCTGGTGCATTTACAGTAATGTTTATGAATGTTCCTGTTCCTGTCAAACAAACACATGTCTCTCTACCTTTACTTGAAATCCATGAAAGTTCCTGACCCACTGACCGAGTTAACTGAACAATTCCCTTTGAGGTGGTTCTACGAGAATTGCTGTGTTCCAGAGTGCACAATATAAGGTCATACTTAAAGGTATATTAGGAGGATGTTCCCAAACTTTAGGAAAGAACTGCCCTCTCCACTTTTTGAACAAAACTCTCCTGTCTTATTTGACGAGCACATATCAACCGAATGATTGACAATTGGGAGGACCAATAGTCTTGATGATCCACCCAGAATCAGAATCAGAATCAGAATCAGAATCATTTTTATTGCCAACGTAAGTAACAGGAGGTCACAGACTTGGAAATTGCTTTGGCTCAGTGCAACAGTCAAAAAGATATAATAAAAATAAGAATAAAAAACACTTCTAAAGAATAAATTTACATTTAAAATAGTTACAGTTACAGTTACTATTTACAATATACAAGTGCACATGGTGCACACAATGTAAGGTGACAGCAGTACAGTGAAGTAAAGTGACGTATGATGGGCAGTAAAGTGACTTTATAAAGGGCGGGGGGACAGGTTACGAAGTGTTCAAGAGTCCAACAGCAGAGGGGAAGAAACTGTTCTTGTGGCGGGAGGTTCTAGTCCTGATGGACCGCAGCCTCCTGCCTGAGGGGAGTGGTTGGAATAGTCCATGTGCAGGGTGAGAGGGGTCGGCTGTGATACGACCAGCCCGGCCTCGAGCTCGGGCAACGTACAGGTCCTGCAGCGATGGAAGGCTGCGGCCGATCACTTCCTCTGCAGAGCGCACAATGCGCTGTAGTCTCTGTTTGTCCCTGACTGTGGCTCCAGCGAACCACACGGTGATGGAGGAGGTGAGGATGGACTCGATGATGGCCGTGTAGAACTGCACCAACATCTGTGCAGGCAGAAGTAGAAGATCCTCCTATACCTTTAACTGAGTAAATAAGATTGGCCTGAGTAGATAGGTCTAATTTCAAAGACTCATTCCAGGAAGTAGAGCAAAAAGTCACACACTTCCATAAACTCACTTTTTGTGTGACACCAAACTAACAATCTTTGCACTTGGTCACTTTCTGTGCAACAGTTGGTCTGCTGAGTGTTTCTGCCACTGTGGAACACTCTTCCCACTGAAATCAAACTGCAAATTGACTTCAACATCTTCAGCAGACGTCTGCAACTGTGGCTGGAATCAGAGCACATCTTTTCACATGTTTCATTATTATTTGATGAATTGTATATTTGTATTTTCATTGCATGTACTTAGGTCCTAAAAGCCTCCTATGGATTAGTGTTGATAATTAGCATAGTCTTGCTTTAACACTAATGGCAGTGCATCTGGTCTGTCCAATGTAACTGTTGTAATAAATAAATAAATCAAATGTATTCATGAAAAGAAAATGTTTAATATTTCTACATCCCACATTCTGACTCGCTCCATCTTCTCTATTTTGCCTCAGTCTCAAACTCCTTCATCAAAAGAAATGTCAATATTTTGGTCGAAGATGGCGTCGATTGATGAATTTACTGAATGACTTGTTATGAATTGTGTTTTTCGATGCAGATTTACGTGTTCCCCCTCGACGTGGAGAAACATCGGCTCTACCCCGAGCTCCTTCCATGTGAGGCGCTCAGCCACTCTGCGAAGGGAACTCACTTCGACCGCTTGAACAAAGTTGAGGGTGGGATTATATGTTTTCTGATTGTCAATGGAGTATGTTATTGTGTTATTATCATATTAATAAATGTAACGTTTAGTCTAGTATGGATCTAGTAGCTAGTCTGCAGAGTGAAGAATGTGTGGAACCAACCCACCCCCAGCTATTATACACAGGAAGTTAGATTACCAGAAAACATCTGTTATAGCCTCAGGCTTACTTATACAGGGGCTATTTGTGTGTCCTGAACAGAGGGCTATTGTGTTCACCTAAGGATGGTGAGACATGTGTTTTCAATTATCAGGTCATGTGACTGTGTGCTTTTCATCGATAGCCTGTCTTGAAACAGGGTCTTTTTGCTTTGGGTGTGCAAGGGAGAGGACCCGGACTGGATCAAGCAGTCTGCCACTTGTCTGTATCTTATATTCTGTCTTTTATATATTAAACCTTTTTTATATATCTAAGCAGAATTTGTGGTCCATTTTTCATCGAAGGAGAAACCGTGGCTGAACCAGCGTTAACATATTTTGGTCCTTCGAGCCGGATGTCAAAACATCATTTTTTGGAGCTGACCGTCGTCCTACTAGAGATCTGAAGCAGCAGCGTGGCTTGGAGGTTGCAGGTCGAAAAACAACTGCAGCAACAGTCTCTTTGTGGGGTTTGATCAACTTCGAATTTCGGATTGAAGACACAAAAGCCACGGACATCGCGATAACAGGCAAGTGTGAATTTACTTTTGAAGTCAATTTACTTTTGACTCAAAAAAGAGGCCGGGGATAACGAGGTTTATTCTTTTTAATAGTCGAGGAGCTATTTCTTAGGCCTGGGATAACGAGGTTTATTCTTCTAATAGTCAGAGAGCTATTAAAGACAGTCAGAGGGGGAGCCCGGAATAACAACAGGTTATTCTTTTAGATAGTCTGTAACTATCATAGACTGTAATAATAACGGGGTTATTATTTAGAGTACGTCGGGGACTACTTTTTACTGCAGTTAAAAGTGAACGGAGTTCATTTTGAATTAAAGACGTCTGTGTGAATGTGTGTGTGAAAGGAGATAAATCTATACTCGAAGCATCGGACAACAAGAAACCTTGCGGTGATAACAAAAAGTTGTCGGCTTGGTGAAGTAGAGTTGGATTGCATCTCATTATGTTTTAAGTAATCGTGAAAGTGGTCTAAAACAATTACATTCCTTGTGATTAAACACCCAGGAGAAACCGGATGAAACATTAAGTTTTATCTAGAAGCTTGTTTCTCGAGGAAGTGATTTGGCCCGTGAGGCATTCCACTAAGATCGTTTACAAATGTGTAATTAATATCCACTGTTGTATAAGCAATAGTTATTAAATAGAAGTTGAAGAAGATATCTAAGTAATTTACTAAAGAGTAAATATGGGTTCATCTTGTACTAAAACTGTGGATCTGAAAGGGGATCCTAAGTTTATGCAGAGAAAAAATCCTGAATCAGTTAAGTATTTAAAAAACTGGAAGAAGAAGTATGGGTTTGAAGGTAAACTAACACTGAAAGAGTGTGAAACACTGGTGATGAAAGTTAGTTTAGGACTTAAATCCAAAAAGTTGCCATCAGAAAAACAATTGCATGAGCAGAAAATGGCAGAGCTGTGGTTAGTTGCAGCAAAGTGTAGGAATAAGCAAATTAAAGAGAAGAAGAGTGAAACGAGCCTAGTTGCCTTTACAACAGAAGAAGACAATTTGGTCCAATCAGGGAGGCGCCATGTGCAGCAGCAGCAGCAGCAGCAGCACCATGTGCACCAGCAGCAGCAGCAGCAGCAGCAGCAGCAGCAGCACCATGTGCAGCAGCAGCAGCAGCAACAGCAGGCTGTAGTACAGGCTCATAAATACACAGCGGCACCACCTCAATATACCCCACTGCAACAGACAACAAATCTATTCCCAGATAATTCTGTAAAACTGCAGGATAGTTTGTATCCACATGCAGAGCTTGAAGCAGCAGCACAGTCACAAGTCTGTGATGTAAAAACACCTGTTGCTACTAGATCACGGCTTCCAATGAACGCGTCTTGGAGCAAAAGTTTTGGAAACCTTTTCAGTCCAAGGGTTGACTTCTCAGAGAGAGGAGCAGATGCATTCCCAATGATAGAAGTCCCAAATCCCACTCATGATCCACAAGTGGTTGGAAGTTTGCCTACTATGTATGTCTTTCGTACTTGGACGAAAGCAGACATAATTAAAGCCACAGAAAGTGTCCCAAGCCATAGAGAAGACCCAGATGGATTTTGCGATGGTATGAGACAACTGGTGGACATGTATAGGCTTAACGGAATTGAAATTAGGGACATTTACATGACGAAAATGGGAGTTGATTGGACAAGAGTAAGACAACATTATAACCCAAATAACAATGCAAACCCACCTGTGCTTCTTCCTGCAGCAGACCCACTCATTAATGATAGATTAAATACTCTACATACTCAAATCAGAGAAATGTTCAAAACTTTACCTGACTATGGGAAGTTAGCTCAGGTAAGACAAATGGAGGATGAGACAGTAGTAGATTTTAGAGTGCGGTTTGAAATAGCCTTTAGAAAACACAGTGGGTTGAGAGACAATAATGCAGCGGAACGTGTAATTTGGGATCAACAGTTTAAACAAGGGATGTTGGCTAATTTAAGACCAGAAGTCTCTGAATGGATAAAGAGAAATTTTGTTGGATTGCCTACTGCGACGCTGCCTGATTTCATAACACATGCTATTCATGCTGAAGTGGTTGCTAGAAATAAAAAGAGAAATAAAGAGAGAGAAGAGCAAGCCAGATCAGTGGATTCTTTCTTGCAAGATTTGGGAGATGTGTGTTTCCAGAAAGCACAGGGCCAATCAGCAAGGAGGGAGCAGAATAGAGGCAGAGGTCAAAGCAGAGGGAGGGGGCAGATGAAGACTAGGAGAGAGAGAAAGTTGGACAAAAGCAATGATTATTGTTACATATGCAAAAAGAAAGGACATTG